CTGTGTAATGCAGATCTAAACTGAAGCTAAAAGCTTTCTTGCCTTCATTATACTTTCACGGTGGTGGTAGATTTTGTTGTTGTTGTTCTAGTTTATAGAGTTTGTGTTGTATGGCATTTTCCTGCATGGCGCCAGATTTTTCTACCGTTTCCAGCTGTGTATTCTTGTCAGTAGCAAAACACTATCAAATGAATCTTTGGTGAAGGAATTGGTATGAATACGACAATATTTGACCTTCTCTATTCTGTAAAGTCTGCCTACCAGCACCTCTAAAGCTAACATGCTGCATCTAGTTTATTTGATAGGGACAGATGTTATAAACATAGAGACTTGTACAACAATTTTCCAATGAACAACATCACAGCATTTATAGCTACTTACAGTAACAGTAAAACAATTGTGCACATACATGTATACCACCCACCAATCCCTCCCTCCACCCCCCATCCCTACACATGACTATATCTTTTAAAAACTTCTTCAGTTTAGTTTTAAGTTGTTGATGATTTTGTTCTGTTTTTAGCTCAATAGGCAGCTCGTTCCAGATCTTAGCTCCCTTGATTGAAAAGGAAGTCTGGTCGAAGGATGTTTTCCTATAAGATATTTTGCAATTCCCTGCAAGGCCTTTAACCATCTCACAGAGAGCCTGAGAAGTCTGTCCATGCAAACACTTCATGATGAGGTCTGCATTTGCAAATGCAATATAGTTATCAAAACTCAACATGTTCAGGTCTCTTAGGATGTGACAATGATGTGATCTAATGGGCTTTTTGTTTAGTATTTTTAGGGCACAATTGTATAATCCTTCCAACGGTTTAATCACACCTTACGTGCCACAATGAGGTAACACAGTAACCAAAGTGTGAGACAATCATCGTGTAAACAAATGTTTTGGCTGCATCAAATGTTAAGCAATCTCTGATTAATGTGAAAAGATATAAATTTGCTTTTATAGTTCTCCCTATTTTTTTTAAACATGTTTATCAAATTTCAAATGAGGGTCCAGCATTAAGCCTAGATATTTAACTTCTGAAACTTGCTCTATATGTCGATTATGCATCTTGACATCCAGTTTTTCCAGAACTGGCCGTCTGCCCGAGCAAAACAAATAGACAGTTTTTTTTACATTAAGCGTCAGACATGAATTTTGTAGCCATCTTGCTATAGCCTCCAGGTGCTGTGATAATTGATCTGCCACTGCGTTAACTGATTTACCATATGCATATACATGTGTCATCCGCATTATTTGAAGACCAGCCCCTTCGCAGGATTCCAGGAGGTCATTTATATATCGACTAGTGAGGATCGGTCCTAACTGTGGGATTCCTGTTTTACATTTTAGAAAAGATGATGTTTTGTTGTTGATAATGACACACTGTTCACGATTTGCAAGATATGATTTAAACCAAGCCAAAGTTTTCTTTCTAACTTTGAGAGTTTGGAAACAAGAACATTATGATTAACCCCCACCAAGTTTCCCTTATCTATGTATGATTTCAACAATTTGCACTCTCTGTAGAGAATTTATGTCTAAACCCAAATTGCAATGGGTGCAGATAATTATTTGTTTCTAAATGATTCATTATGTGCATTGCCACAATTTTTTCCAAGACCTTTGAAAAGACAGGCAAGATACTTATTGGTTGGTAATTACCCACCTGCTCAGCCGCACCAGATTTAAGAATAGTTAGTACTCTGACATTTCTGGAAACTGTCCTCTAGACAAAGAAATATTGAGCAAGTGAGTTAGTGGTTCAGCAAATATGTGACAATGCCGCTTCATCTCTTTTGTTTAATCCCTATCAAGTAAAAACGACACGTGGGTTCATGTGGAGCTATGTGCAGAACTATAGCTTGATCAATATTATTAACTTCCTGAAGAACATAAACATAAATTTCTTTGTTTAAAAGACAGCTCCACAGGATTCCTTTATTATAGATTTTCCAGAAAACCCCTACTGCACTCGTGATTTTCTGCAGGGAGATAATGGAGGCTTGCTTGCAGTGAGAATTTGTTTACCAGAGAGTCTATAAGAGTGAGACTGTGTATAGGAGTTATTATTATGTTTCTGTGTGGAGAGAGCGATCAGAAGAGAGGAAGGAGGTGAGACAGATAGAAAAAAAAAGGAATATGGAGGTGTGTGATGTGAAAGGTCAGAAGCTCTGCAGTGTTGTTTGATCCCTTTCTCTTTTTTATCTCTCTCTCTCGCTGTGACGTGGTGTCACAAACTCAAACAGATTTTCAAATGTGGCCTCTGACAAAAGCACGTGCAAACACACACACGTACACGCACACACACACACACACACACACACACACTGAAAAACTCTCTCACCTGTCACCTTTTCCACAGTGCCAGGCAGTGCCTTTGTTGGTACGTGAGATTCAGACTTTCAAGCTTTGCTCGTTTTTGAGATTTCTAGAGCCAGTGTTTTAGCAATTTAAAGCACTCTGTTAGCATCTGGTCTCTTAAAGTTTGGATCGTCCCTTATTATACTAATCCAGGATCCAGTATTTCAGAGCAGCTTGTTAGCAGAGTTATCCTTGTTGTTGTGATAGTTCAAGCTGCATTATGGGAGCTGTGATGGCTGCTCTGTCTGTGGAGGCCAGGAGGCGCCTCTCTCGGCCCAGCTGCCTCTCTCACTGCGGCCACAGTGCGGCCAGGTACCATCGCTCAGGTAGGCGCTCATATGGTTTCACCTCCGCATCATCACATTCATTAATTTTTTTTTCTACTCACTCCATCACTCTCTCACTTTGTCTCTCATTTTTTGCTCATTATAATCACAGCGGATCATTGTTTTCTTGGAGTTTGGTCACGTATTAGTTTGCTCAACACATCCCACAAATCACTTTAAAGTCAAACAGTTCAGTTCTGTAAAATACTTTCCTCTATAGTAGACATTAGAGTTGAAATTTGAGTGGGTTGTGCAACTAACTACAAAAATTAAACACACGACTTCTAATATTCCAGAAAGAATGGTAATACATTTACTGTAGTACAATGTTGATGTATTGTACTTTGAGTATTTAAAGTGTATATGACTTTATTTCTCTACATTTCAGATGTTGAATTTATTTCATAATTATTTGCTAAGCTACTAGTTATGTTTCAGATTAAGAATTTAAGTAAAGTATTGATACATTTGTTGTAGATTTAACTAAATTTAACTAAATAATATACATAGTTAACCCCTTCAGTGGATCAGTCATGAAGAACTCATGTGGTTTATCTGAGCTTTGGAAAAACCAATTCTATTGCAGACTCCAAAGATTTCATGCTGGATTAAATGATGCATAAAATGATGCACAAGACATCATGCGTATTTCCATTTAAGAGAATGGTGTAGCCATAAAGAAATATAACTTTGGTTGAATAGTTCACTCAGAGTCAACACCGTATGTACTTAATGAAGAGTTGTAACAAGCTGATGCAGAATATGTGTGATACTGTGAGACAGTGTGGAATAAGGTGATTTTATCACTTAAAGGGAAAAGCTGTTTAATTTAGCTCCACGTCCACTAGCTGCAACATTAAAAGGCTTCTTACACCACAATACAACAAAAAAACTGACAGGGGGCATTTGCTCCATGATGAGTTATTAATTCTTTGCATTTACGTTTTTATTCGTTTTAAAGAAGACACTGGAATATGACAGCAAATAAATCTAAATCTAAACACGTCAGCGTCACTGCAGTTGAACAATTACAAAACATGAAATTAATGAATTTATATATCTCCCAAACCACCTTTTGTTCTACATAGAATTGACTCATGAGATGCTTTCTCCAGCTATGACTTTACCAATTCTTTTAAATTAGGAGCTTTATAATATAAAAATAATTAGTTAACAATGTTTGAGGTTGTAATCGAGTACTTTTACGTTTGATACTGTAAGTATATGTTGCTACTACTTTCGAATGATTGTGATGGATAACTTTTCCTTTGTGGAATTGCTACATTTATTTAAGTAAAATATCTAGATACTGCTTTCACCACTAAAATACCTATATTAACAAGGACTGTTGCTGAATGAACATTGAATGAGCTGCATTTAAATATGTAATTATATTAGACCATGCAAAATATTACAGCTGCAATTTCAAAAGCAAGGAGTAATTTCTTATGATTTTAAAAATGCCTCTGACATGTTTAAGCATTGTTTCTTGCTCTCCAACTCTGGTGAAGAGTGAGGGGAATTGCTGATGCGTCTGACTGAGAGGAAACAGTCTGGGTCCTCTCCCTATTTACTGACTTTGTGTCAGCAGGCAGCGCCAAGCCTACCTTTTAAAAACCTGTTAGTGTCTTAATGGCTTGCCAACAGGAACAACCACACACACATGCACACCGAAGACCTCACAAACTCACTACAACTAGCACTGGATATACAAGAGAACAAACTTAATGCGCAAAAAATAGATCCAGAAAGCATCAGTAAGCACATAATGCCCAGATACCTACATGCATGGTGTGTGTGTGT